CCGACTTTTTATTTGGGTCTGAAAATAGGGAAGATCGAACGAGTCCGACTTTCCACACTCTGCGGACCAGGCAGAGTGTTTTGTGGTGCCCTAAACCACAAACCCTCGTTTTTGAAGCAGGGAAAAGCCGAACTCTTTCAACCAACTCTTGTATCCATTTTTGATGTGAGAGAATTTCTAAATGATTTTCTTTGAGAGTCGAATTTTGGACAAAGAACTAGAAAATGTTTGATGTCTTCTGGAGAATTACAGAAGTTGCAGTTTGGAGATTCGAGTTTTTTGATGGAGAAAATATGTTTGTTGAGAGCACAGTGACCAGAGCGAAGTTTGTAAATGATAGAGCCTGCACTTCGTTCTAGATGATCAATACTTTCAAAGATTTTGAGAGGAAGTGTGGAAAGACGAGCGTTATTACGTATGATTGATTTCTTATTTTTGTTGAACTTGAATTTTGCTCAAGCAATTTGTTGGATGTTAGATAGTGAACAAAGCTGATTGTTAAGTTGATTAGGATGTGTGTTGAGAGTGGCGGATTTAGCGAGTTCATCGACTTTTTCATTTTCAAGGATGCCGACGTGAGCTGGGCACCAGTGAAGGTAAATAGGAATGTGACACAGATTGATAATGATTTTGAGTTTGTTGAATATGTTGATGAACGTTGATTGATAGGATGTGGGGAGAGGAGAATGAGAAATTGAATACAGAGTTGCTTGATTGTCGACGAAAAAATTGATTGGCGAAGAGGAAGTAGAAGGAGAGTTCGGCAATAAGTGTTTACTGATGAAGATATCCAAACCGATATTGATTGCTTGGACTTCCGCTTCGAACGCGAATGCTTTCTCTGAATTATTGATTCGGTAAGAGAGTTGGGTCGAATTGTCCAGGATAGCTGCTGATCCGGTACCGTTTTCTGGGATATTTGAACTGTCCGTAAAGATGAGATGTTCTGACTTTGATTTTGATTGATTGATTTGGGATTGAACGGTGGTTTTGATGTCTTCTTTTTTGATATTCAGATTAGAGATGGCAAGCGAAAAATCTTCCCATGGATCGATGATGTGGGGTTGGATCGTTTCAATTGCATGTAGGTCGTAATCGTCAATGAGGTGCTTGTCAAGGATACTGTGGATGGGTGAAAGATGGGTAGTCGGTGTGGATGAGATTTCTGAGTCGATGAGCCGTTTGATGGGATGAGAGTGAGGTGCTGTTGATTTTTTTATTATATACAGATGATTTTTTCTTTTTAAAATTTCAAAAAAGGTATTAGTGGTGATTCTCTTTGAAGAACACTGCATGGAGTGGTTTTAAAGAGACCTAAAATGATACAATTGGCTTGGTTGTCAATTTTATCAAATAATTTTTCATTGTAGAGTATTTCTTATTGGTAGCCCAAATGGTACTACCATATAAGACTCTAGAGCGGAGGACGCTAACAATAAGATTTTTGGATTGGTGAAAGCCAACTCCAAATGAACATCTTGAAATACGAATGAGTTGTGAGGATGTTTGATCCCCGCATTTTTTAATTTTTTTGATGTGATCCGTGAAGAGGAGTTTAGGATCAAAGATAATACCTAGGTATTTTACAGAATAAGATGTGGGAAGAGAAAGATCTCCAAATCTAAAGGGGCGGATGTTGATTGAGTTGTGGGTGAAGATCATGAAATTGGCTTTCTTCCTGTCGAAGATAGTGTTATGTTTGATCCCCCATTCAAGGGATCTATCACCTTCAATTTCAAGTTTTCGGATAGAAGTTTCAAGCTATTTTTCTGTGACAAGATGAGTCACATCATCAATAAAGCCAAGAGAGATAGAATCTTGATTTAAGGATAAAGGGTTGTCGATAAGAAGGGATGGATTATAGATGATGTATAAAATCGGAGAGAGAGGAGAGCCTTGAGGTAAGCCGCATTTGAGTGAGAAAGGAGAAGATAAATAGTTGTCCATTTTAAGAGAAGTGGTACGGTTTGAAAGAAAACTGGAAATTAAAGAGAGGAAATACGGAGGAGCATTCTTAACTTTTAGGTTATGAACGAGTCAATCTTTGAAGACTGTAGGGAAAGCCGATTTAACATCCAAGAACAGTGCTGCAACAATTTTCTTTTCGCGCCATTTCTGGCGGATCCAAGAGGTGAGGAATAAATTTGCGTCATTGGTGGAGCGACCAGCTCTGCCTCCAAAGTGGCCTTCAGCAAGTACATGGTTGTTTTCAGCCCAAAAAGTAATTCTTTTTGTGAGGACGCTTTCGAATATTTTTCCTAAACAGGATAGGAGCGCGATTGGGCGGTAAGAGCCTTGTAAAGAATATGAATCTTTATCAGCTTTCCGGATGATAGCTGTAGTGGCATGGCGCCAGAATAAAGGATAGTAGCCGATTTTTAAACAGGAGGAAAAGAGGATAATAAGAAGAGGGATAAGGGGTTCCTTACCCCAGATGATGAGATCATTAGCAATGTCGTCATGACCACGGGATTTCTTTTTGGGGAGATTTGAAATGATATTGTCGATTTCGACACGAGAGATAGTGGGAAAGGAAAAGGGAGGATTGAGATCATTGGGAGGAATATTGGATAGAGAACAGTTGATAGGGGCATCAGATGTTCCCTTGAAAAGAAGGGAGGCTTGTTCTTCTTTATTCGAAGTAAGAATTTTTTGATCATTGAGAAGAGGGGCAACACTGCCATTGGTGTTTGGTTTGGTGAATTTGTACGCTTTAAATAACTGAAAGTCGTTACACTCAGCGAGAAATTTTCTCCAGTGATTTCTCTTTAATTCAAATACTTTATCCTTAAAGGTTGATTGCCAATAATTGAAGCAGTCGCAAGAATTAGTGGATCTCGAAAGGAGCATCCATTTTCTTGCCCTGTTTCTTTTTTCGGCTAAAGGGGTTAGAATCTTACTATTCCACCATGGTTTGATCTTTTGAGAATTGTTGTTGACTATTTTTTTTTCAGATGTTGAAAGAATTTTGGAAAGAAATAGTTAGTTTTTCAACGAAGTTGTCGATGTCTTGAGAATTGAGGAGAGGGTGTAGTGGAATGTTTCTGAGAAACATAGAAAGATCTAAATTGAATTTGTCAGTATTGATTTTTTCAAGATCGCAAGAAAGGCGATCATTGATTTGGATGTTTGACTGAAAAGAAAGAGTGAGATAGATTGATTGGTGATTGGAACCATGATTGTTGGAGGAAGTGATGCAGGATTGAATGAGTTTCTGAGAAAGGAAGTTGGCCCAGGTGAGGTCGATTGTTGTTGGACTGGATCTTCTCGTGAGGAACGTAGGAGTGCCTTTTTCGGAAATGAATTTGAAGCCTTTTTGACCACATGTTTTGATGAGGGATGACGATTCTCGATGGGAGTGGGAATAATTAGAGGGATTCCAGAGTTTATTGTGGAGATTGGAGTCAATGAAGATGAAGGAGGGAATTTTTCGATCATTAAAGGTGTTCAGCCAAGTGGTGAGTTCGGGAAGAGCGTCGAAATTTTTGGGAGGGTTATACACATTGATGAGTCTGATTTGTCGGATGTTGTTGATGTTGATATCAATATCTACTGCTGATATGATACGAGAACTGCCTGGAAGAGGCAACATATTTCAACATTGCAATATTTTTACACAGCCCTCATTTCCCCCCCCCCCCCCCCCAAAAAAAAAAGAAAATGCTATGAGCCCACTTGTTTGTAAGTAAGCTTGCAAAGGTTTATTATAAGTCTTTCTCCAGGAATAGTGATTTTGTTTTCTCATTTTCCAACCTTGCCTGAGTCCTAAATTCTAAGCTCATCAAGAAAATGTGGACTGTCAAAGAAGTGGTTCTGATCAGGATGAAACCGGCTTGGGTTCGGGTCGAAAAACAGTGCCCAGACCCGACCCGGCAAAAGTGTTGGGTTGGGTCGGGTCATACAGTCAATATTGCTGCCCGAACCCGGCCCACCTAGGGGAGCAGGCGGGTCAGGGTCGGGTCGGGTCGGGTTGCGGGTCAATTTCCGGGTCAGGCTTGGAGCAGGTTTTTAGAGCATATTTACATGTCTTATAGAAAAAGGGCATTAATAAAAAAAACACAGTTTTTCCGCGTTTACACGCGGTTTTGCTGCGGCACAGCGCACGCGGTTTCCGCGTTTACACACGGTTTTGTATTTAATTTTTTACCGCTTATTTTTTGAGTTTTTTTGAATTTTTAAATTTGTTTCCTACACTATAAAAGGCTTAGAATTTAATGGTAAGAACCATTTTGCATAAAAATGAATTTTAATTATTAATTATGTTTTTCACTCATTTCTCAATTAATTGTTTGCAAACATGTTTGTACCTTATTTTTTATGCTTTTTTAAAATTTTAAAGTTATTTCCTAGGTTTCAATGTGCTTAGAATTCAATGGTGCAATCCAATTTTTTAAAAACTCAACAGTTCATTTTTAATACTGAAATTAGACCCAATTTTTGACTTAATTTTTTACAGCTTAATTTTCATCTTTTTTTGACATTTTAAATTTATTTCCTACACTTTAAGACATGTTTAAAGTTATGGTGAAAATTATTTTGCATAAAAATGAGAACTACATCTTATATACTGCATTTGACACCGTTTTTTATTTAATTCTTTATTTCCTAGGTTTTAATACAATAAAAAGAGAATTTGATTTAGAGATGTCACTTCGAACCCGGGTACCCGCAGCGGGTGCGGGTACCCGCTCCAAAAATCACTTTTTTTGGACACCCGCACCCGCACCCGCACCCGCCACGTCTGCCAGGGCGGGTACCCGGGTACCTGCGGGTGTGGGGGGTCTATGGGCCTCATTGGCCGGAAGGGATTCCTTCCGGTCGATGAGGCTGTTCCACCTCATCGATCGGAAGGAATTCCTTCCGGTTGATGGGGTTGTTATGCCTCACCGATCTGAAGGAAATCCTTCTGGTCGATGAGGTATAACAACCTCATCGACCGGAAGGGATTCCTTCCGGTCGGTGAGGCAGCAACCAAATTTCATTGAGACTGTACAGTCTCAATGACCGAAGGAATCCCCCCGGCCATTGAGACAGTGTACAGTCTCGAAGGCCAGGGTTCCCTCCGGCCTCAACAGGCCCATGTAGGACACCAACTGGTGTCCTACATGGGCCGCTGACACCCTGGTAGAGCCCAAAACTCCCAAATTGCATTCCCAGGGCGGGTGTCAGGCCGGGTGTCAAGGTGGGTACCCGGGTACCCGCCGTTTTTTGTCCCAAAACTCGACACCCGCACCCGCACCCAGCACCCGCGGGCGGGTACCCGCTCAGCAGAACAGGTACCCGCAAACGGGTACCGGGTACCTGCAAACAGGTACCCATTGCCATCTCTAATTTGATTCAAATGTCTCCCAAAAATTAAAAAACTTTAAAAAAGAACACTCCCAATCATCGGAAAGGGATACACCAATCATTTCTCCAGATTCCCATGCACAAGGCAGACTCTAGTCAAGATTATGATCAGCCTGGACACCACGACACTATCCAACGAGGTGATGCCAGCCAACTACACTACGGACAATTAGCTGTCGCTGCGGCCCGCAGCGTCACCCAGACGTTTCAAGTCAAACTGAAACCTCATGCTACGTCAGTAGCAACGACAACCCAATCTATGAAACGACAGATCACACTACACATTACCTTTACAACACATCACCACCAGCCTAAGAGAAAGATTGGCATCAATGATTGGCCTGACTTGATGGCTGAATAGGAATGCCATGGTTTGCCACACTACACAACGAAATGTGCCTGAATGGACAATGTGGGACTGGTTTGAAGCTGATGGGTCTGGAGGGCAAGCCAGAGCAAGGTTAAATGGAAGTACACCATGCACGCCTCCCGTCCTACATACCTGGCGCACGTCTCTTTCACCTGATTCGATACTCGTCATATCTACTGATCATCATTCAAATAATTCAAATCATCTTTAGCTAGAGAGAGTCACCCCATCTTGAAAAAAGTCCGACCACATTGATCACACCCCTCGTTTTCATGCACCCAACTCACGCCCCTCGCTTGTATGCCACTGATGCTGCATATCATTCTATGATTTTGACCACCCTTGGGCGCATCACAAAGACAGGAAACTCACTCTCATTCATCGGATAGCTTGCGAAGAGTTGAGGTGTAAACCCCATCGAGGTGAAGCTTTGGGTTGATAAACTACCATCTAAAAGTCGCGGCTAGAGGATATACTCTATACATGCTTTTCATCACTCTAGTTCCATGCCGCTTCGAAGTGAAATGTTTGAAATCTTTTCTGTTTATAACCATTGAAATCCCACACATATTTTCGCAGTTTCAATCTTCAGCTTACTGGCATAAAAGAAGTCAAACAGTCCAACTTTCAACATTTTATAGAATTTGTCATTCGTATTTGTACTTGATATATTTATTTTATCCAATTATTCACCTGCGAATTGATGGCTTGCTCTTTATCAAACCATTACAAATGTGCCATCCATTTAATCTTTATCTCTTTGCTTTACTCATCTTTGTCTCTAGAAAGCAATCCTTGGTGCACCGTAGGAAGTATTCACATGGAACTCAAAACGTCAGGTTGCCAACACGGGTTTTATCTTAATTGTGGGAAGCAGAGCAATATGGCAAGCCCATCTCATTTAGCCAAAAAGACACGCAACTGCAAAAGCTTCAATAAAAAGTATTGGTACAGAAATCTTTATTGTCAGATAGATCCAACAAATGCTTCAAGTAATCACCCTAGGAACAAGATTTGTTGCAATTATTTGCAACTGCCATGCCACTCAGATGCACACAATCATGTTCAGCTGCTTGAGAATCAGCCTCAATCGACTGGTGACTAGTCAAGATTCTCAGCGGTGCGGGGCAGATTTGTGGGTTGAACAATTCACCATACTATGCAGAAATTACAACGGATAAAATGAGATTTGAAAGCGGCTACACATAAGAACACACAGATATTTAAGAAGAGCGAAAAGAGTCGGTGCTTCACAAAGAAAAATCAAAACATAAAGAAGTAGACATGGTGCCGTGGGCATGTCGTTGAGGACGATTTCGCCCATGTTTGTGGCTAATGGGAACACAAACAGTCTATTGTTTCGCGTCTTTGGCCTGTTGTCAAAGTGAAAGTTGTCAGTGTGATGAGCAAGTGAACAAAGAATCGTGAAAAATGTACCTCTTTCTTGCTCTTTGCATACACATTCCCGTGTTGCTGGGGATATCCATCAGCGCCCTTTGAATCAGTCAGACGGTCCCCCAAGTTCGAGTCAGTTCCATCTGGTGTGAAGTAGGTACGGTCGGGCCTGAATCCGGTGTAATTGGACAAAGGTCTGCCAATCAGATCGGGTGAGGCATCGTGGAAATAGCTGGGTGGGTGCGTGTCAGTAGGAGTACCAGCGGTTGAATTGATACCAATTCCGTGGTAACCATTGCTAATGCGGCCAGGAGGGAAGCTGTCAGTGGGGCCAGATGGGTAACTGTACCCACCAGTGGAACTACTGTCTGACATCCCGAATCATCTTGAGACCAAAGACTAGAAAGAGTTCCAATGCAGCCAGGACGGTATACCGACGTGAGATCAGTGTGGGCAAGACGTGTCCCAATCCAGCCGAGAGGACCGACATGACCAGGAGGGCTAGGAATGCACCAGTGAAGACGATCAGTCATGGGTGTTGCATCGCTAGTAGGGCAGCAAGTAGGAAATTTTTGTCTCCGATCTCTGAGACAATGATCATAGCTAGTGATTGGAAAGAAAGATTCAGATCAGAAATCAGTTTACTGGTCAGATTCAAGGGATGTGAATGATCACTTTAACAATGGCTCTATCCAGACCAGCCAGCAAAGGGAATAGGACCGGTTGTACTTTGGCTCGGACTGGGAGTTTTGACGATGGACTGTGAGCCGGTTCGGAGCGCATCCCGCCATCGCTCCATCAAGGACTGAGTTACAGTCTGTGAGGAGATTCCCAAAGCCGGCAGCATCCAACTCATGTCGACAAACGAGGTCCGTCGATTCCGCGTCGCCATACTAGCAGCGCTGCTTCCAGCTACATAATTGGTCCGCAGTGCATGGCGGGGATTACGAAGCAGATGAATAGCAAAGAATTGAGGCGAGATAGGGTGGGTGAGCTTCTTCCGAATATTCGTTAAGGTGGTTGGAGAAGTCTTGAGTGGAAATACGTACAAGATGGATGCTGGTCGCTCGAGCTGATCGGTGGTAATATGAACAAAGTGTGTGCTGGTTGGTCGAGATGATCATGGGGTGCTTGCTGTCGTTGCGAGGGAGCTAGTGTCGTTGCATTTCCAACTTGAATTTGGTCGCGCAACATCTGAATCTGGTGGGAAACGTCAGGTGACGCTGCGGGCCGCAGCGACAGCTAATTGTCCGTAGTGCTAGTTTATAAATAAAACTTGGTATAAAGATACCACTTTGGGAATACTTGTACTTCCAAGGGCTGTCACAGGTTCAAGCCCCATTGAAGTCATTTTTGAATTTTTGAATTTATATTCATATTCAAGATATGTTTTTCATTGTTATGGAAAGTGATTGTTACCATCATTTTGAACATGTCTCAAAGGGTGGGAAACAAATTTAGAATGTCAAAAAATAATGAAAATTAAGCTCTTAAAAATCAATTGAACTTTAAGACCAATTACAGTATTCTGAATGAACTGTTGAGTTTTATGGAAATTAAATGCTACCAATAAATTTTAAATACGTTTAAATATAGGAAACAACTTCAAAATTTCAAAAAAGCTTAAAAAATAAGGTAACAAAATTAATGCAAACAATTGAGTGAAAAAGTGAAGAATTAAATAAAAAAACGGTTGTCCAACGCAGTATTCAATAACAATCTTTGGTTTTTACGCAAAATTATTGTTACCATCATTTTAAACATGTCTGAAAGTGTAGGGAACTAATTCAAAATGTCAAAAAATAATGAAAATTAAGCTCTTAAAAATCAATTGAAAAATATGACTGATTACAGTATTCAGAATGAACCTTTGAGTTTTAGGAAAATTGGATGTTACCATTAAATTCTACACACTTTTAAATGTAGGAAGCAACTTTAAAACTTCTAAAAAGCATAAAAAATAAGGTACACACGTGTATGCAAACAATTAGGTGCAAAAGTGATTAATTAATTAAAAAAACATGTCAAATGCAGCATTCAAGGTATAGTTTTCAATTTGGGGAAAAATTGTTGTTACCATAATTTTATACATGTCTTAAAGTGTAGGAAATAAATTTAAAATGTCAAAAAATGATCAAAATTAAGCTGTAAAAATTTAAGTCAAAAATTGGGTCTAATTTCAGTATTAAAAATGAACCGTTGAGTTTTTAAAAAATTGGATTGCACCATTAAATTCTACACACATTGAAACCTAGGAAATAATTTTAAAATTTCAAAGAAGCATAAAAAATAAGGTACAAACATGTTTGCAAACAATTAATTGAGAAATGAGTGAAAAAAAATAATTAATAATCAAAATTCATTTTTATGGAAAATGGTTTTTACCATTAAATTCTACGCGCTTGGAAACCTAGGAAACAATTTTAAAAATTCAAAAAAACTCAAAAAATAAGCGGTAAAATATTAATTACAAAACCGTGTTTAAACGCGGAAACCGTGTGCGCTGTGCCGCAGCAAAACCGCGTGTAAACGCGGAAAAACCGTGTTTTTTTATTAATGCCCTAGAAAAAGAACACTTTTTGTAACTTATCGTGAATTTTATTTTATTCAATCGTACGATCCTGATTCCTGAGGTCGATGGGATGCCAATGGCGTACAAGCCTACAAGCCTACGAGGATGCGATCAAAGGCTAAGCGTCCTTTGAAGATCGTTTGTGAGTTGTAGTCTCGTATTGATGACCAATCGAAGAAAGATTTCCAAGCGACGACTAGCGAGGATCCTGAAGTTGGTTGGCGACCCACAGACCAGAGGTCACCAGTCCCTGACTTCCCTTAAGCGGGTCGGTAGTCGGGTTTTCGGGCCGACCCGAAATCAAAACTTGCTGCCCGAACCCGACCCGGTAATCAAGCGGGTCACACTCGGGTCGGGTCAGATAATATTTTTTTTACATAAAGCCGACCCGAACCCGCCCCAAGACCCGACGGGTCACGGGTCACTTCCGGGTCGACCCGACCCACTTTCATCCTGAGCACTGGTTCATAGGTTGTCTGATCAATGACTCCGGAGGCAATGCAACAGATCGAATATTTGAGTGAGATTTTGAAAAGTGTGACATCAATTGCTCAGTAGATACAAAGTATGTTTGGGGGTACATACAGCTATTTCGGAAAGGGTTGTCCACTTGGACTCGCGAAATCTTTTTAATTTTTTAATTTTTTTTTATTTTTAATTTTTTTACTGAACTGGACCTGTCAGAACTGAACTAGTGATGACAGCTGTACCTCCTCGGCTGTAGTTCAGTACAAAGAAAAATTTAAAAATTTTCAAAAAAAAAAAAAAAATTGCGAGTCCAAGTGGACAAGACTTTCCGGAATAGCTGTAACATACAAATGGATGACAGATAACTTTGAGGACAGGCAACAAGCGATGCATGAAATTTATGTATGACTCTCATCTGACTGCTTGTACAAATCTGAAGGAGCAAAGCTCAATGAAAGTTAAACTGTGATCGTGTTCAGACTATTGTCAGGTGGACGATGGGGCCCAAGTATGTCAACACATGAACTGAGTCTCGACTCTCTCTTCCTCCCTCTCATCGCCCTGGACGCCCTCTGAGGCTCTGATGAAGGCACTGGCCTATTGGCTTTTACATATTTCTTGGCAAGCACCGGTCGACAGCTGCTGAGCTGGTGCACTTGCCGGCCGATGGACGCTCGACTTTCTATTGTATGATTGATTGCCATGGTGATTCTGGCTCGGTTGAAGCGTGTTCAACGCAATCTGGGGACTTCCGATTACAGCTGGTGTATGTCTGTGTATGTCAGTTAGGAAGTGGGGAGTTCAACGGTCGGAAGATGGAATGGAGGCTATGCAATTGTGAGAGTGCAGGTATGCAATAAGCCCCAGATCGGGCCAAGGTTTTCGTCCCGCTGATTCCGGGGGAACACCACACCACCGCACTGCTTGCAATACTCCTTATCGCCACCCTTATCCAACTCAAACTGGCTTACAAACAACTATAAGAACACCTCACCACACACCACTTCACCATCATCTCCTTCACTCAAACAAACAAACCAACCTACCAACAAACCAACGATGTCTGTCTGCCCTACCACATCAGCACCCGGCCATCTGGCCAAGTACATGGACCTCCCTCAACCTGAGAACTTGATCCAGGCTGAATACGTTTGGATCGACGGAAGTGGTGGCTTACGTTGCAAGACAACCGTTCGTCATCCATCCCCCCCCTCTCTCCAGTCACACCCTTTGATCGATTGCTTGCTGAATCTTCTCTTCTCCTCCTGATCGATGTCCGCTCGTAGACGATGGATCTGCCAGCTTCTGGTCAAGTGACCGTGGCCGATTGCAAGGAGTGGAACTTTGATGGCTCCTCAACTGCCCAGGTATGTCCAGACTTTCAAACTCAAACATCACTCCTTCTGTCGATCGACCGATCACTAACCGATCCAACCGATTCTCAAACTGCTACACCTACCAGGCCTCGGGCCATGACTCTGACGTCTTCCTCCGCCCGGCCGCCGTTTTCAAAGACCCGTTCCGTCGGGGCAAGAACGTCCTCGTTCTTGCGGAATGTTACAACTCCGACGGCACCCCGAACAAGACCAACTTCCGGTCAGTCTCCCTCATAATTGATTGATGATCGATTTGGTTTGGATGATCCTCCGATCTGACCCGATCCGAGCTGTACCCTCCAGATACTCCTGCAAGAAGTCCATGGATGCCGCCGCCCAACACAAGCCTTGGTTCGGGATCGAGCAGGAATACACCCTGTTCGATGCCAGTGGAACTTCTCCCTACGGTTGGCCCGCAGGTGGTTTCCCGGGTCCACAAGGCCCATACTACTGTGGTGTCGGTAAGCCGATCGGTGGTCTTACTTGCTTGGTATATGATGATCATCATCGGCTGATCATCACCCTCCTCTCTCCCTACTCTAGGAACCGGCAAGGTTTTTGCCAGAGACATCGTCGAGGCTCATTACAGGTGTTGTCTGTACGCCGGCGTGACGATCTCGGGTGTCAATGCTGAGGTGATGCCCTCCCAGTGGGAGTTCCAAGTCGGCCCATGTGAGGGAATCGACATGGGAGACCATCTGACCATGGCCCGATGTAAGTCGATGATCACTTGACAACACTCTACAATCCATTCGGGTCTCCAGGTATCCTGATCGTTCTTCTGGGCTTTAGTCCTTCTCTACCGAGTCACCGAAGACTGGGGAATCAAGGTCTCCTTCCACCCCAAGCCCTTAGCCGGAGACTGGAACGGTGCCGGAGCGCACACCAACTACTCTACCGCTGCCACCCGTCAACCGGGCGGGATCAAGGCGATCCACGAATATATCGAGAAGCTCGGCAAGCGACACAACGAGCACATCGCCGTCTATGGAGCCGAGTGCGTTCAGCCCCCCCTTCCTTCCCATCTTCTATCGACTGACCTCAGTCTCTTCTCTTTGAAGCAACGACCAACGTCTCACCGGTCGTCATGAGACTGGTCACATCGGAAACTTCAGCTCCGGTGTCGCTCACAGAGGCGCCTCGATCCGAATCCCTAGACACGTCGAAGCCACCGGCGAGGGATACTTGGAAGACCGTCGTGTACGTCTTTCTCTCTCCCTCTCTCATCCTCTTTCTTTTTGATTTTTTTCACTCATAGTTTTTTGTTGTTGTTCCCCCCACCCCCTTTGATGATGATCGATAACAGCCTGCGTCCAACATCGACCCTTACCAAGTCACCGGAATCATCGTCGAGACTACTTTACTCCAATAGATTTGTAGCTCTCTCAGAATATCCAAACTTGTGTTTTAGTGTGTGAGACTCAAAAGAACGCTGTCTCTCACAAAGTCCTTTATCCCCCCCCCACCTTTCTTTCTTTCTTTCTTCTCGCAACATAACCCCCCCCCCCCTCCACGTGATGTTCTTGTTTCCATTCTTTACGTTTTGAGTCAGTAATCAATTGACGTCGTATCAGTTTACCCTACCTTGATCCGGCTCCTTTTTCGTTTCCGAGGGTTTTTTGTTGATATGTTGGTGTCCTTGGGTCTGTCGGTAAGATGCCGGTTTTTCTGTTGGGTGGTGGTTATGTATACGGCGAGAAAAAGTGAGGGTGGTTGGTATCTCTGGGGTTGGTGTGAGAGGTCTTTATCTCAGGGAGTTGGTCTTTTTTGCTCGCTCTCGGTATCGGTATCGGTATCGGGTTGCAGTCACGTCTTGCACGGCCCATCTGGCCTCCCCGTCTCTCTTATACCATACTCTCTATACACCTATCCACGCATTTTCTCAGTCGATTACGTGTCATGTCCATGTCCAATCGAAATGAGAAATGTAAGGCTTGGTGGAGCTCTTCTGACATCCCATCTAAATATATACTCAGTCCGGCGTGACGTAATATCAAGGAAGCCTATGGGCACTGTAGCTCAGTTGGTAGAGCACATGCTTAACATCGTCATCACTGTTGTCCGCATGTTGTCGTCGGTTCGAGCCCGGCCAGAGTCAGCGGTTTCCGCATCTTTCAGGCACTGTAGCTCAGTTGGTAGAGCACATGCTTAACATCCTTCCAGGAGTGTCCGCATGTTGTCGTCGGTTCGAGCCCGGCCAGAGTCAAATTCCTTTTGTGGTTTTTTTTGGGGGGCTTCTGGGATTCTATTTCTCTATCTCATGTGTTGTTGTACCATGGGAGTAGTTCCCCAACAGAGATGGATGGATTGGCTGTCTGTTGAGATACATATTGATATGGGCCAGATCATCATACTCGTTGATTGGGTGTAATTGGGTAGTTTAGAGATGGGCCATCAAGAATGGTGCCAATGTCTACTTTTAACTTGCTTGATATGAACAAACATGCAGCTGTCATTGTTATTAATTGGGCCCATGATCTCTTTTTCAAAGGAATAGTGATGGACAGATATTTGCACATTGTTTGTAATTTGTGATTTGCTGGTTAAATATGTATTAGTTTAAATCCAAAGAAGACAAAAAATGATAAAAAAAGGACAGCCAAAACTACTTCTATCATCATTGCCTTTTTAATCACAAGATCTAGTGAGTGTTCAGGAAATAATGAAATCAGGTCATGTTTGCACAGGCTCCTTAGAGTGCACTGAAGCATCCTTAGTCATCATTCCCCAAGCAGGGAATCATCTCACATTTTGAACGTACTAATTTTATGAAGGTATTGACTAGAGGCTAGCTTCCTTTTTTTCTTTCTGTTTTTCAGAGTTCACAATGTGATCTTTATTGGTGGTACATAACAGATTGTCAATCCAGGGGAAGGGGAACCAATCAGGGTTGATTCAGTCTGTGATCATAACCATTTTCTGGTCTTTCCAAAGCTCCTTGAAAGCAGTGCCTATAGTTCTAGTGAAATGAAACAAGTATTTATTTACATATTTTCGTGTGGCAGGGGAATTAATTGGAGACCATTGGCACGGGTTGGGCGGGCTGATTACGTAATGCAATCGACCTCAGTGTTTCATCATCTTCAGAGTGCTGCTTGTTGACCAAAAACCCATCTCGTTCAACTTTCCATCATTTACTTTTACAAATTAAAGCTTTCGACCGAACTATCAACAGGTAAATATTTTCTCCAACCGACTGCACTCTTTTGTCTTCACTGAGTTTGCTAATTTGAACAAAAGTCTAACAAACAGATTACAGTCATCCGAAACTACACCAAATTTGAGGTTGATAGAATGTCGTGGATTGGTCGGGCAATCAGTTCAGTCGGCCAGTATTACAAAGAAATCAACCCGGCCACACTCTCTGGTGCTATTGATGTGATAGTCGTAGAAAACAGACGCCAAGCAAGCAAGGAACAGAAGGAAGATTCATCTAACGAGGAACTAATAGACTTAGCTTGTAGTCCGTGGCACGTACGATTTGGAAAACTCAGCGTACTCCGGCCAGTTGAACGGAAGGCAAGTAACTTTAGATTCTTTCCAGCTATTTTCTCTGTATGGTTGCCAAATTTCATGCTAACTTTTTTTGGGGGAGGGGGACAGGTCAGGATTGTTATAAATGGCGAACCTGCGCCATTTAGTATGAAAATTGGCGACACTGGTGAAGCGTTTTTTGTTTTTGAAACCGACGTTGAGGATCTTCCGGATGATCTCCAGACTTCACCATTAGTCTCACCCGTGCTCAAATCTACCGACTCACCTTCGACTAGTCCTCAAGATTCGACTTCTCATCAGGCGCTGGAAACTGTTCCTGATTTTGCTGATCTGGGGGAACCCCAGCTGGAATCGAGCCAAGTCAAACGGAACCCAAGCAGAGACCCGCCTCAGAAATCTCAAACTGATTCCCCGCCTGCTTCAACCGATAACCAGCAAGACTCACCCTCACCTGAACCTTCGACTGATGCGATTCCCCACGAGGAAGAATCTCAGGATCAAAAGCCTTCTGACGAGCCTGATTTAACTTCTGATGAAAATGCGTGGCTTCAAACAGGGGAGCTAGATCCTTCGTTAAAACGTGGTTTGGAAGGTAAAACTTCAGATCCTCACCAACATGATTTCGGATCAGCCGCCGGGAAAAGCAAAAAGCCTTTGAAACTTCAAAGATCGAATTCCATACCCGATTCATCAGCACATTCAACCGATAAAATTGACGATTTGGCACCACATACCGCTTCGAGCCTCCCAACAGCTGATTTAATGCTAGATATGGATGGCTACAAGATGACCCACGAAGCACCTCATAGTGGCGAACGCAATCTCAATGACCCAACCGTAGATTCCTCCCCTCGAGAGGATGGGTTCAATGAGTTGCCCGCAGGTTCAGATAGCAACCGCCAAGATCCCACAATAGACCTTCAAGAAAATTTGGTTATGGAATTCACAACGGCCCTCTTGCGGTGTTCAGAGACAATCAATCGATGCTTCTTTGGCGCTTCCGGATCCCATCCTGAGCTCGAAACAAATGAAAACGTGATTGTTCATGTTCCCGAAAACGAGCAGGGATCTGCCGGACCTACTGCTAATACCGAAAATGACTGTGAAGGTTTAATCATAGTTGAGGACGTTGAAGATAAGAATGGATTCAGAGGATTTGACCGTTTTAAAATCCATTCAAACGGAACCTGGCACGTATTCGAAATCTCTTTGTTTAGCATTTCTCAAGATGATCAAAACTCGGGCGGCATATCCGGTCAGCGTCGCGGATCGAGGACGAATCATTCTAGACATTATAATCACCAAAAGTTCAAGGAGAACCGTTTAACATTTGAAGATTTTTTCGGTCTCAAGTCCGATCCTGCGGTTGAAGGAAGTCTAAGGAAAGACTTACTGGATGATGAAACAAATTTTATTGTCAGATACAACCAGAAATATACATTGACGTGGGAAAATGCTAGTACTGCATTGACCTCGCTTGGGATTTGCCGGAAATCGATTATCAATCTAAGCCAGGCCCAGCTCAACAAAGTTGTCCGCAGTGCCTCACGGGACGGAACTAGCGCTAATGGAAGTTCTTCAACGTTTCTTGATGGCTCAAAGCCAGAAGAAAATGGATCTGATAGAGTTGGATCGGACAACTCGACCCAACCCCAGCCGCCTACAAGCTATACACGACCGTGGACTAGATGGTGGTACAAGACCGATCGCTTGATACCCGCCGGTCCCAATCACGAAAGGCTGTCTTCAGCTACATCGGCATGGAGTCAGGATAAATCCGGTGGATCTCCAGCGGCTGGCGAAGCTACCAGTATCAAAGTCTCACCGCCCACATCACCACCCGACACCCCTCGGTCTCTTCCAGGAGCGTCCTATGGCAAATATGTTGCGGATGAGAAACTTGGCCCAATAGGAGACGAGTCAGTCGTAAGTTGCGCTATGCTGTGACAAATCTTAATGTGACACTCATGGTAATCCCTTCTAGCAAAAGCCCAGAAGCTCTTCTGCCATACCCGATACCCCAAATCAGCCCGCAGAAGAAGAAAATCAATCAATCGGATTGACAACTGCCACTCACAAAACGTACGCAAAAACTTTAAGACTAACGTCTGATCAACTTGTGAGCTGTGGCACTTGAGACGTTTCCATTTCGTTATCAGCCATTAGTCATTTTTTTTGGCTACATTCTTCATCACCTTTTCACAATTGAATGATGGAATATTTAATGATACTGACGCAATGACTTTATTTAGAAGCAACTTGGGCTCAAGAAGGGAGTTAATCAGGTCTCGTTCTCCGTCCGGTCCTCATACTCTGGTTATGCGGTTTGCACCTCCCGAATTTTCCTCTGGGAAGCAGATTACAAGATTTGTATTTCAGATATCGATGGGACGATTACCAAATCTGACGCGCTTGGACACGTCTTCAACATGATTGGTCGAGATTGGACGCATGCTGGGGTGGCGAAACTATATACGGACATCGCCAGAAATGGATACAAAGTCATGTACCTCACCTCGAGGGCAATAGGTCAGGCCAATACCACCCGAGAATATCTCAAAGGTATCAATCAGATGGGGTTCGTTTTGCCGGAGGGTCCAGTGATCATGAGCCCTGATCGCCTGATGACGAGTTTACATCGGTCTGTCCTCCTTAACCTAATAATAAGCTTCTCTTGGCTGAACCCAACTCGAAATCTGGCTGATTTCAAATCCACGACTCCGCGCCGTTTCCAGGGAAGTGATCATGCGAAAACCTGAAGTGTTTAAGATGGCCTGTCTGCGAGATATCAAGAGATTGTTTGGACTAAGCCGAAGTCCGTTCTATGCTGGGTTCGGGAATCGAATCACCGATGCACTTTCATATCGAGCAGTTGATGTTCCATCTTCGAGGATCTTCACGATCGACTCGAATGGGGAAGTGAAGATGGAGTTATTAGAGCTGACGGGTTACAAGTCGTCGTATATCCACATGACCGATTTGGTCGACCAGATGTTCCCACCGGTCAATCGGAATCAAGCGACACCTGAATACTCAGATTTCAATTACTGGCGATCAGTCGGGACGAGTTACGATGCACTGTCGCTGATAGGGGTCGACCTGGACGAACTGCTCTCGCCTCAGAATGGAAATCAGATGCCCGTCAGTCCGACTTTGAGTGCGCGGAGTGGCGAGACCTCGGTCTCGACCAGCCGATTGACATTCAGGTTGAGTAGTCTCAGCTTGGGTCGGAAGAGCTCCAAGGCCGATCTTCCGGGCTCCTCGACGACTATGAAAAGCGCCACAGGATCCTCCAAGAGCAGTTTCCTCACCTTTCCGTCGAGCAAACAGACCGTTGGCCCGACCAGCTTCCAGAACGAATCGGAGAGCGTGACCGAGCAAGACGAGAATGTGGATGAGGATGCCATCGGGAGTGGGTCTGATGATGATCATGCTCAGATGCACGTGCCCAACCGGTTGCGTAGCGACTCGATGCCTGGCTCCTTGCCTGGAAGCGTGGAAGAAGCGAGCTTGCTCGAAGGCTTGAGGAGGGGCCAATATCAAGACCGGTCGGCCCACTCCGCTCATCCGAGTAATAATGATCCTTCAACCGATAAACCTCACAACACCGATGATGAAACACCTGGCGATGAAGACGAGTTCCCTCAAATGGATTTCAGCTCAGTACCGGTAAGCCTGCTCATCATTTCTAACCAAATTCAAAAAAGATCATTCATTCATCTGCTTATTTCTCTCTCTCTTCTACTCAGTACCTTTGATCCTTCCTCCTCGTCACCATCCTTTTTTATTTCTTTCACTCCTATAGATTCCAATGTCTCTCAAGAAGATGTACTTCAATATCCATATCCATCATTAGATTCACCCACTTAATTTTTCTCTCTATCTCACTCTCTCAATTCTTATCATTCCAGATCACTTTTTGTGTTATCTTTTTACTCTTTTTTTGACCTCTTCTGGGTTTTCTTTTTCCTTTTTTGTAAGAATTTTCTTGGCTGTTTTAGAGGTATTGTAGTCCACATTCTTGGCCTTGATTTCTATGTGTCTTTTTAGAATCTCTATCTCCTTTTCCAAAAAAAAGGGTAAAAGAGAATCATGTAGTTTTTTGTTTCCCTTCCTTTTTTTAGGTGTACGTATACATCTCATCTCTTGGTCCTTTTGTTTCCATCTTTCTATTTCCATGAATTGGTTTCACTCTATGTATCAAACCATTCTCGTTTGCAGATCACGTTTCTTTTCTATCCTTCTTGAGTCTCCACAACATTTTCTCTTATATGAAAGGATCTTTCATATAATAAGAGATGCAAGCATTGCAATCTTCCAGAATTCAAGATTCTGAATGATTGCTTGCACCAGAATGAATCAAGGCAATTTCCAGCCCATACTTCATGAATGAGCACATACTAGCCGCTACACATTTATCATTACAGGCAGGAAAATCTCTATTATCAAATCTGTTCCATGTTAGCCAATCATATCGAGGGTTTCATTCCTGGTGTCCCCCGTTTAAGGGGATTTGTTAAGCTAGGTGCACCAAGCATGGATGTCACTGAGATTTCAGGTGACACTCGTGACACTCGCCAACTCGGGTCACACTTGGGTAATTTTCCACCCTTTCCCGCCCCGAGACCCGTCGGGGCGTGGGTAGCCCATGGGCGCCCGAGCCCATTGACAGCCTGACGTCAGACTGCTTTTCTATCATTCGCCGCTCGTCCAGCTTGGGCTTCGACAAACCACTACGAGGGATCGGAAAATGGCAGACAAACGACGCATCAGGGTGAGTGAACTTTCGAACTGACCACATCTTCATGTTCCAGGGCTGACCATGCATGCGAGGGCGTTCCTGATTTAAGGGTGCTGCCATCCATCGGCCGATCGTCTACGGTAGCGTTGCAACGATGATACCGGTTGAGGAGCGAATAGCGAAGCCGGACCACAACATGCGCTGGACGGTGGCCGTGCGGTCAGCGGCGTCGCCGGCGCCGGGCTCAGCGATCCTGGAAGGGCGGGTGATCCCGGGAGACGTGATTGGCGGATGCGACGATCTGTCGTACTTCATCAAGAAGGTCACCTTCAAGCTGCACGAATCGTATCCCAACCCATTGCGGGTTGTCGACAAGGCGCCGTTCGAGCTCACCGAGACGGGCTGGGGCGAGTTCGTGATCAACATCACGATTCACTTCCTCTCCGAGTCCGCCGAGAAGGCCATCCAGCTCCAACACCCCCTCAAGCTGCACGACCCGACGGCCGACCCGAACTCTTTGATCCCACCGGTCTGGCTCGACCAGTCTCTGGCCGATTCTGCGCCGCAAAATAAATTCACATCAGTAGTCCCCGACCCAGTGACTTCGAAGCCCAATCCCATCGACCAAATATCTCTGACCAACGATCCTCCTCCTACTTCCACTCCACCATTCAAACCTAGTACGGTGGTTCATTCATGGCAATACTATGAGATCGTATTCACCGATCCCGTCGAGACTTTCTACACCAAACTCCTCGCTCATCCGCCCACACCCGTTCCAGCCCAAAACAGATTCCCATCAGGGACCATCCAACAGATCTGTAATAAGCGCGAGACTGGCAAATTCTCCGCGGATATTGCTCAGCGTGAATTCCCTCGGCATAGCTACATTCAGCCACATCCATCTCGAGAGCAACGCCCCCCATCAATCTTCCAGTCACATCCACCCTCAAATGCTAACAAGAACAAACCCACACGAGCCGCCGTGCCATTCAATCGACTTCAACTGGCCGCGGCCCTGATCGAATACAATGATGGCACTTCCGATAATCAGACCAATAGTGGCATAGATTGGTCACTTCAAGAGCTTATTTCACAACCAGTAACCACTCTCAAGCAAGCACCCTATTCGGCCATTTTCATTCCATTTCGCCAAACCCTTTCTTCCAAGCCGCTCGACTTCTTTTCGGGTTTAGAATTGCCTTCTTCCCCCAAGTCGCCAGCTGGGAAAAGCATGAGTGGCTTTGGGATCGTATCTGAAACCGGCGCTTCAAGGCTAGCCCAAACAATCCCAGGTAATCCTCGAAGGATTTCTGAACCAGTTGTCATCGAAAATGCCAAAGTCACTGGCTCCCAATCCGGCATCGGTCCGTTTGATAATGATGTTGAAGTGCTTTCTGAATGGGGTTTGGACAAGGTATTATCGGGTAACCTAGAAACCCCGAAATCGCCTGATAGCGCTCAAGAACCAAAACCACACCCAAAATCCGAACTCAGGACTGGCCGTGTCCCGGAGAATCTCAATGATCGTCACCAAGTCCAATCGGATATGTTCGATTTCCATTTTTCAGAGCTCAGGCTTCACAACGAGGAAGAGGAAAAAGCCGGAAAATCGCTTACTCCCGATTTCTTCGATGACAAGAACAACCCGGATGAACTCAATCTTGTGATTGATGATGAGGCTTTGTTGCGCCAAAGGGTTGGGTGTGACCCAGAAGGCAGGAAGCTGTTGCGGCCCCAATCAGTAATGGAGTTAAAAGAGACACGACTCCGGTATCGACAGAATAAAACATCCACAACCAAGCAACTCGCCGCTCTCCGCGCTCAGACACCTCTAACAACTCAACCTGCAGCTTTTGAAATCAACTCAAACAGCCATTTACGCCAAGCCAGAAGGAAGTCCGCACTACGTACCAAGTCACTCTCCCCAGCCAGGGCCGTTAGTCAAGCTTCTGCGGGCGCTATGGGATCTAAGGGCTCCAAAATCACATCGACACGCCAGCGCTCAGCGTCTGGTACAATGCAGACTCTTGAAACTCCACCAGTCGATTTATTACCAGCTCGTGGGAGGCGGAAAAGTGTTCTCGATGAACCATCCAACCGTCGGTTCAGTCTCAATCCTCTCCAAGGTGTCCTGACCAAACGTTTACACCAACGAGGCAGGTCTGCTACCAGCATCACCAATCCTTCTCTGCATGACATGGAGCCAATCAGAGCTAAAAAGTCGTCGGCCAACTCTGAGCTTACCGCTGAGAGTGTCTCTGGTGCAGTCTCGCCGAACATGGGCGGCCCGAATTCGATTTCTGAGCCCAAACCGAAAGGCAGAACATCAACCGATATCGCTGAACGATATCAGAAGTCAATTGCTATGCTTGAGGGGCGGAAGAGCGAAGACATGACCTATGACGTCCCAAATCCACTCAGATCTTCTTTAAGTGGATCTCAGGCGGGAAAAGACACTGAAGGAACTACTAGGGATCACCAGATCAGCATGCTCAACCAAGTTGGATCAAATCCTGATAGCCAACCAGGAAGTGAATTCTCACTTGGAGCTCCAAAACAGTTTACGAGTCGTTTTGATCCTAAGGTCGCCTCGGTGCTTTCGCAAGCTACGCCAACAGGCATGAGTCTGCAAGACGACTTGGAACAATCCGAAAACCGCTCTCTTCGCAATGACGGCAATGATGAAGATGATGGTGGTGCAGATGACTTTGAAGTAAATGATGACAAGAATAGTGCAACTGAGATGCATATCTACGACGAGCATGGGCGAATCAGATTTCCCGCATCTCTCAAACCGTTGGTCTTAATCATGCCGATCCCACTTACACCAGCTCAACCTGAGCCAGAAGAGGTTCAGGAACTTGACTTGGAGGCTATTGCCGCAGAGGAGGCAGCTCAAGCGGAGAAAGCCAAGCTCGAGGAAATTCAAAGGCTGAAAAATGTTAGACCAGCCGGCAAACTATATGGCAGGAGCTTGATAGATGAGTTAAACTCAAGGAAGGGGAACCAAAAATCGAAACAAATGTGAGTCAATTATATACATATGCCCAAGATGAGATCAACAAGTTTTACAAGATATCTGACAAATTTATATACACAAATGTTATGTCCACAGGGCTTTTGGAGCTAACCCTTCAGCAAAAATGTTTAATCAGCATCTCTCACCGGAGGACGCTAGTCGGCCGGGCTCGATCTACTCCGCAGTTGACGTTGTCCCAGAAGTCAGGGTAACGCTTCCAAACAGCTCAAGTTCGCCGATGCATTTGGCCAATCAAGCCTTACAAACCACTCAATCAAAATTCAATCAAGCACTGATCAACTCATCCAAAGCACGCAAGAGTGTGTTTGGAATGGATATGATCATGAAAGCTGAACTCGAAAAATTGAAAAAGATCAAGGCGATGGAGGAACAAGAACTCAGGGAGGAGGAGTCTAAGATTGAGGCTAAAGAGGCTAAGAAGCAGGCTAAGAGGAAAGGCAAAAAGAAAGCAGTCGATGAAGATGCGAAAACTGATGAGCTTAAGGATCAGATCAACAATCGCTTATCTCGCATGGATAATTGGGACGCGCTATTGGAGAGAGAGACTGGACGTAAGTTAGGTTTGGTCCGGTAATTTGATCATGACTATCTGAACTGATGCCAAAATATTGCTTCACTATTTTACTAAAGCCCCTCCGATTCGAGAGCCAATAGCACCCACACCATTACCTGTCCTGCTTTCGCCTGTGAATCAAAGTGAAAACTTGGTCAGTAATATGAGCGATTGGTTCGAGGATAAAGCAAATGAATCGTTGATAGACTATACGCCGATCATGCCCCCATCATTGGATTTTGAAGAGGATGTCGGATTCGGAAACGTAGACTCATTGGCTCGAAAACTTGAGATGCAAGTTGAAGAGATGAAGTATAAACCTTTACCCAATCGGTTTGAGAACCATGGCATGGTTCGTGCCAACAGTGTCCAAAGTCAAGCTGCCCTTTTATCCCTTGCAACTAGAGGAAATACCCCCAGCCTTCTAATGGCCAGTCCTCGTGGGGTTGCTCATGAAGATGACGAGGAAGGAGAAGAACTTCTTCTGAACATAATTCCCGAAAACAGTCGACAATCCCTCTTGCCTCGATCTACCTTGCAGCCATGTGAAGAACTAGACGACAACGTGCCTCTTTCGTACCGTAGGAAGTCCAATTTACTCAAGGCTGACGCTGACTCCGACGAAGAGGATGATAACCGGCCACTGTCGCACATTGGGACCAAACTCATGCCTGGAATGGCTCAATCGCCTATCCGATCGGCCTCTTCTCATGAGTCAGATGAAGAACTACCATTAGGTATCCGGGCTTCAATCTTACTTTCTAAAAAACACCCGCCCATCGATCTTACACATGACGGGGCATCCTCCGAGGGTCCAATTGGCTCTGGGGCATCAGATGAAAGCGATATGGTACCCCTTGGGATTCGAGCCTCAACCTTTCTACCTACACCCTCCCAGGCTGCCCGCCCGTCAGGGGTTAGCTCATCATCACATGAAGACAACATTCCATTAGCATATCGTGCATCCAGGATGGGACTTCACGCGCTTCAAGGGCAACACTCTGGACCTACGGAGATCCTGGCCAGTAGTGGGCATTCGATCGGAGGACAGTCGGACGATGTTCCATTGGCAGCCAGATTATACAACCCTAGTCGACCCTCAACTGTGAACCCAACATTTTCCTTCCACTTCCAAGCCGCCGCCTTCAACAATCCCTACCAAACCACCACCCCGAGGCTCTTCGCCAATCAGAATCAACCACGGATTACCACGATCAACGATGATGGTGATGAGGATGACAATGTTCCACTAGCGCAGAGAGCATCGGCCTTACCACCTGCGGCGGGCGTAGACTCTAAAGATGACTTGCAAAGGCTTGATATAGGCTCCGATACTAGTCAGAACATTGTTGTGACTCCGTTGGAGAGTGAGGAGTCCAGGCTGGAATTTCCAGAGCGGTCGATCAGTCAAAAGCGAGAGCCGAGCAAACTACGCAGTCCAATTCCGAGCCAAGTGGTCGACGAGAGTGTGGCCAGAGAAGACACCCTGGCAGCTTTGGAAGGTCGCGGGAACCTGGAAGCTCATGCCGATGATGATGTGCCCCTCGGTGTCACTCGGGCTGCGCACTCCTCCACTGGGACCCTGCAAAGGGAACGGACTATGATCAAGAGACAGAAGGAGAAGGCGCGCAAGCTGGAGGCTGCTAAAGCTAAGGCCGAGCTCGAAGCCTTGACTAGTGCTCAAAAACAGACTGTTGAAGGGAAGAATACTGACATTGAATTGCGTCCTCAAGAAGAACAAGCCAAGAAGGAGGAGGAGGAGGATGATGATGACGAGTATGTTCCATTAGGAATGAATGCACATGCATCGGTGATGAATCTTGCATCTAAGGCCAATGCTGCTGCCAACAACGACGATGAAGAAGACGACAACATTCCATTGGGGATCAGCCGACACACATTGATGATGAACCCACAAGAAGCAATGATGCGGAAGCTGGTCGAGCAGCAGAACGCGGCCTTTGGTTTCCCGCTCTCCGGCCCCAACCATCCAACCCACCATTTCCCAAACCACATGTCCATGATGATGTGTCCTCCTCATCAGGCCCCTTTCTTTCAGCAACAACAGTACCAGTTTCAAGTTCAACAGCAACAACAACAACATCAGCAGCAGCAGCAGCAGGGACATGGCACTGACACCGGGAGTCCAGTGTTGGACTCTTCTACCATTAGTAGATGGAGACAAGACATCCAATAGTCCAATTTTTTTTTCCAACCCTTTTGTGTATCCTAGTATTTCAAACTCGTCTCTATCTTTCTTTCCCCTCTTTTTTTTGGTTCTATGCTCGAGATTTGAGATTAGAGTTTTACTTGTTATAGGTCGTTGTTGTAATTAGTAACTGTTTTGCATTTTCATCTCATTGTATTACCTCATCACGTCACTTCCTTTTCAAAAATGATATTAGTTTTGCTCCACAAAGTACAAGCTTTGAAAACCACTGGAAGTTCATAAATAGCCCAAATGTTCACAAGGGTGATTTTCATAGTTTCTTTGTTATAGGTCGTTGTTGTAGTTAGTTACTGTTTCGCATTTTCATCTCATTGCATTACCTCATCACGTCACTTACTTTTCAAAAACTCTGCATCATCTAGCTCCTCATTCTTAATACACAAACAAGTCAATGATGTTGAAAATTTATGTATGTTCCAGATGATGTTATTGTGGATTATTGTTATCCAGATGAGGGGACGCTCAGGTTTCCACCCCACCCACAATATATTTGATGGTGATGGAATCAACCAACCAGCTTTGAAATTGTGGAAATCTGTTCTGAGGTCACCTGGTCAATCTTTTCCAGGATCTCAAAGTTCCCAGTCCACTGGTAAGTTCTAGCCCTTTCTCTTTCTGTGGATTTTGAGGCACGATGAGGCTTTCAAAAGAAACTTATTTTTTGGTCTGGAAAAATCCCAGAATTATTCAATATATGTATGCTAAGGCTCACTTCACTCCTGAAGGAATTCACCAAAGAAAATTTGAGAGTCCTTGAAAGTTTAGGGATGAACTTTTTTTTCCTTATTTTCAAAGAATAAGAAATCTCCTGGAAGATAATGGCAGAATTAACACACCACATAATTCTAGGGCTGAGGCACAAGCAATTGCCCTAAAAAAATACTCAGTTTGGGATAGTGGGTTCCCAAAACTCTGGCTTTGGGCTTTCTTTAGAAGATATTAAGATGAATGAATGTGAAGAGTCAAGGTAATTCAGAAGACAGTGAAACATTCCTCAGTGGAAAATTAGATCCAGAGTTGGATTTGAAACTATGGGCTTCAGTTTCAGTTAAAGAATGTCAGTTGAGACCTGTTTGGCAGTACCCTCTACCACCCCGTGGGTACCTCCCACACCGCCTCTGCACCGCCTGGGCGGTGCGGGGTACGGTGTCTGGTGCCAGTCATACAAGTAGGAGGGGGGAGGGGGTACCCCCCAGATACCCCCTGCCCTGCAGCAATGGTGCAAAACAAGGCTGCTACCCTCAAGATTGGCTTGTTTTTTAGCCATTGAACCTCAACTGGAAATCACCAGCCCTGCCTAACCAATGGAGGACTTACCGTCGTCCAAATATGTTCATTTAAAATGACATACTAGACGTTATTTGCTGGCAAAAATTGATCAAGATCAAGTTTTCACCAGAGGACCCCGGGGGAAAAACGGGGTTTGGATACATGCGGAAATCAGGTTTTTTTTCTGGAAAATTCCATTTTGCTACAGACTACATCAGTAACATTCTTTGCATAAACACAAAAATTTGGTGGAAAAAAGTATCCCATTGGGGAATCAAACCCATAACCCCTCAAATCTGGGGTTTTGCTCACCTGAAAGAGCAAAAAGCTCAGTTTTTAGTTTAAAGATGCCCAAAAGGATACAAAGTGCATAAGTAAGTATGCTTGGTGAGAAAAAAAAACCAATCCGCTGCATATCCGGTCAATTACATGAGTATCATTTTCCAAAAAAAACCATTTTGCTACATGCAACAGTGCAACAGAGACGATACAAGATGCACTACAAACAATACCGATTTTGCCCCAGGAAAAAATGGCAATTTGGTTGGTGGAAAATAGGTCACTTTCCTGAGCATTTTTTTTACAAAATGACTCAGGAGTCAAAATTAAGCTAAAATGAGCTATTTTAGCCAAAAAATAAAAATGCCTCAAATGAGCTAGAAATTAATTTTGGAAAGTTTGAGGCATTTTTATTTTTGGGCTAAAATAGCTCATTTTAGCCTTATTTTTACTCCTGAGTCATTTTGTAAAAAAAGCCTCAGGAAATTGAACAATTTTCCACCACTCAAATTGCCATTTTTTCATGGGGCAAAACTGGTATTGTTTGTAGTGATGGTATCAGCAACTCTGCAACCGCTGCGCTGCGCTGCAAAAAGTGGCAAAATAGCGCAGCGCAGCGGCAGCCCACTTTTCTTGATGTCCAAAAGCGAAAGCGGCAGCGCTTAATCGCTACTTTCAGCGCAAGCGCAGCGAACCAGCCGCTACACACATTATGAACTTTGTGTAGCGGAGCGGTTTTTTTTTGCTTTCGCTACAGAACAGCGCGGCGGTTTTTGCCGCTAGTTGCTGAGAATAGCGCAGAGCGCAGGGGATGGCTGTGCTTTTCTGGGCCAGGATGGCCGGCACTATTCCACCCATAGCTCCACCTGAACTTGAAAAGTATATCAATTAGCTGGACCTGTTTATCAAGGTTCCAATAGTTCTATTCACATCCTTTTTATATATACAAGCCATGTCCTATATACATGAGATGACCTCAAATAAAAATCCCCCTCACCGCTATTCAGCAAAGTAACCATTGCTTTTTCAGCGATTTTTCCGCTACTTCAGCGCTGAGCGGAGCAAAACATCGCTACTGGCCGCTGTAATCAGTGCGCTAAAATTCAATGAAATTTTCACTAAGAGCAACTATCAAAAAGCGCAGCGGCAACCCCGCTACAAAAAGCTCAGCGGAGCCAGACAAAATCCGCTGCGCTTTTGCTACACTTGCTGCTTTGGACAGCGCAGCGGTTGCGGTGTTGGTATCAGGCGTTTATTTGTATTGTCTTAGAATTTGAATACCCAAAAACACCGGATTTGTGTTTCATCTTTGGAAAGTGAGACAAGTATTCTGTATTGTCTCAGATGACTGATCCCACCAAAACCGTATTTGATACACAAGATATTTGGCTGTATTGAAGAAAAAAGAAAAAAAAACAAAGGCATTTTTTTCATTTGTAAATCCAAATCTGAGACAATAAAATTTTTCACCAACCAAGAAAATACTGATACCGGTATCAGGCTCAAAATAAAGATGAGACGATCTGATACGAATACATGTCTTGTATCTGTTGCACTGTTGCTAAATGCCACATAAGTCCGCTTGGTCAGGGCTCATTGGGGTCCTTTCACCAGCCAATAGAGTTTGGGACCCCCTTCCAGATTAAGCAATTTAGGCAACGGGAATTCCTCCAGTGTCCCCCCCCCCTCGTCTAAAACAATCAATCACCCCCAGATATTATGAGTCATTCACCCCACCCCAGGCTCCGTGAATCACATGGCCACTTGGCAGCCTTTTGGGCTGCCATCTCTCTCCCCCCCCTTTTGTCTAAAATAATTTATCACACCTGAAGCAACAGTGGGCCGCTACGCTACACTACACTATTTCACCACTAACTGTTAGTGTACCTGGAAATTCTGTAGTGTTAGCCGACACTAAACCCCACTACAATAACTGTTAGTGTAGTGTAAATTTTTCTCTCAAATTTTTTGGTAGTGTTAGCTTCAGATAATCTCAGCTAAACTAACAGTTAGTGTAACTTTTTTGCGCTAACAAAATTTTGACCTTCAGATAGTGTAACTGGTTTGAAGCCAAAATTTAGTGTAACTTATACCAAATTAAGCTACACTACACTACACTACATGCCTAGTTACGCTACGCTACGGTAGAAGTTACACTACACATGTAGGGTAGTGCAAATCATCAATTAGAGAAATTGACATGTCAAGTGAGAATTTAGGGGGTTGATAAGCGCAAGCCAAACCCCCTTGTGCACGCCAATCTGCATGCCACTTGCAGATTGGCGTGCAGGCCCACACACCAAAGCAGATTGGCGTGCAGGCCTGCACACCAATCTGCAGCAAGTTTGATTGGCTTGCAGGTCCTAAACCCATATTAATATGGGTTTAGGACCAGGGCTATCCCATAGGACCCAGGCATGGGTCCTATGGGATAGCCTATGTAGTGTTTGAAAAAAAAACATGTCAATCCTTGTAGGACACCAGACGGTGTCCTACAAGGCCCACCTCGTCAACCAGGAGGGAATGCCAACAAGGTTCTACAACCTTGCTGGCCATGAGGTTTCCCTCCTGGTCCGTTGGGCCTGATTAAGCCAATCACACTGTTCACCATATTCTTCACCTCAATTAAAATTAGATTACATTCTTCCTGCCCATCCAAGGATGATGAACAATTCAGAGAAGCCTCAGCTGGTGATTGATGTCCCTTGGTAAGAGCATTCATGCATTGTTGAGACGGGCTCGGTGGCTAATAACTGGACTATAAATTGCTGTTTGATCTCCAGGCTAGAACCATTCACCCAGACCATCGAGGCTCAATACGTGATTTCCGAGCTGGATTATCTTTCTCTCCTGGTATACTTTCTTTTTTATGTTTACCAATTAATTGATTGGTTACTATATACATTTACAAATTTGAATCAGGATTCAAAAGTTTAAGGAATGGCAGGCCAAGATAGACAAGACCAAAGGAGGATTAGATCCGTTCTCAAAAGGATATGAGAAATTCGGATTGATTGCCCAAGCGGATCGATCAATCTTATATTGCAAATGGGCTCCAGGCGCTCAAAATGCCAGTCTGATTGGCGACTTCAATAATTGGGACCGGGAGGCTAACCCAATGAAAAAGGATCAGTTTGGGGTTTTGTCAGCCTATGTGATGCCAAGACACGTGTCCTCTAGCTACACAAGGTGCAAAAGTAAGAGTTTTTATGGCAAAAACTCTGGGATAGAACTGGTACAGGTAATTCAAAAGAATTACGTGAAATTTATGGATTTAAATCAAAAAGTGGCCAATTTATATTAATAAAATTAATATAAATTAAACCAGAGGGGCCTGATAAATCAGGGGTGGTTTAATCCCTCTAAGGTATCGTGCAAAAAGCAGAGGATTTAGGTACCTGATACACTGGGGCCTGTAGCAGGTGTGGTTTAAATCCCAGGAGATAAATTTTAGGGGAAAATCTTCAAGAAAGGGTTATTACTTACTAGTAATAATCCAAAGGGGTCTTGAGGATCTTCTTAGTAGAAACTGGACAGTTGGGAGCGCTCAGAATGGTTGATTTTGGGTGCTGGGAGATAACTGGGGAGTTTCTTGAGGGTTCTTGAGGCTTAATAACAGCAATTATAGTAGTAACTAGGCTAATTACAAGTGTAGGGGACTTGTAAAGGGTAAGTAAATTTCTATAAGGTATCTAAAGCTGGGGGATCATTATTTGGGCGGTCAGAAGGCCCTTTAAGTACCTGTGGAAGGCCTCAGGGGTTGCCCAGGGGAGCTTAGTAGGACTTGGGGGCGCTTTTTGGCCCATTTTGGCCCACATGGTGATGTAACCAGGGCTGGAACCTTGGGGATAATATTCCAGAAGCTCCAAGGGGCCATGCACGAAATTATTACAGCCAAGAATTTCCCATGGGGACCTGTGGATAGGGGCTACTCTGTTACGTGGAGCAGGTTCCTTGGAAATGGGCCACAGAATATTCCAGAGGTGTCTTCTGAGGCTTGCTACACGTGTTACCCATTGGAATATGGTTACTGTAGTATTTTCATGGATATTCTAGCTTGTTCACATTCTTATTACACGTGTGGAGGCTTTGTTGTCACGTGCAATGGGGATTCTGGGGCTTTTGTGGCCCAATCCTTGGATACTGGTGCGCAGCATGACTACGTGGCGCGTGGGCTTGGAGACAGGACTCCACACAGCTCTATCTTCTAAACCGTGCACAATACTCCAATTCTGAGACTGGATTTGGAGTATATGCATTATGCATTATGCAGAGGAGTCACAGTACCCGTGATATGGGGGTACCTGTTAATTATTCATGCATGTATTACAAGGTGAAGGAGTTATAATTTGGGGTACCTTTGGCTGAGGTACCCTAGGTTAAATTGTATGCTGATTCAGAATCTGCAATAATATTTAAGGTTTTGTTTATACTTTTTAAGTTATTAATTTATTTTTATGTATTTTTTATCTTATTTACATAAGTAATATTGCTTCTTTTACTTATGTAATATTTTTACTTTATACTTAGATTTTTTATGTAATTTATTATTTTATTTGCTATGACAGGTTGTCTCTGCCATAGTAGCAAGCTGACATTCCCTACCCCTAAGATGAGTTTACTCATAAAAAGGAAATAGTAGTTTGAGAGGGATAGAGAAAAAAATTGTGTCACTCCTTAGGATGTTCTTTTGGAAGCTCTATAATTCCTCAAATGTATAGCTCCATCCGGGATATTATTCTCAGGTAGCCATTCATCTTTGTCTGCTGACTGGTTCTTATACCTTATCAAGTAAAGTCTAGTATCTTTTCCCTGTACTCTCTCTTTCTTATCCTTGAGTATCTTATGAACCTTAAGTTTCTCAGTAGGAGGAGTTTCTAAGACTGGTACGGGTTCTGGGACTACAGGAGTATCTGCTGTTCTTTGTGTGTAAGGTTTAACAAGACTTACTGGAAAAACAGGGTGTTTTCTAGATAACTCTTCACTCAATATAACTTCTACAGCATTTTTCCCGTGTAGTTGTTTGATAGTAAAGGGACCAACAAATGAAGGTTTGAGTTTCTTGTTCCCACCAAGGTTATTAAAATTTACGGTAGAAAGAAGTACTTTATCTCCAATTTTGAATTCAGGTTCTTTATGACTCTTATCCCATCTATTCTTATTATACTCTACAGCATCTTCAACACATTTCTTGGCATGTAAATTTGTGGAATCTAACATTTTCTTGAAATCTAGTGCTGTAGGGTGTACATGAGGTAATTTGTCATTGATGGTATCTTTGGGCATGCGTGGGATCCATCCTCTTTCAAGTATATAGGGTGCTACTTTAGTTGAGGAATGTATGCTACTATTGTAAGCTATTTCCAAGGCTGGTAGTAAGCTTACCCAGTCATGAGTATATCCATCATGATTTTTGAACTCAAATCCAAATGAACAGAATCTTCTCAGCATGTCTTCCAGGGTTTGTATCATCCTTTCAGCTAAGCCATCAGTCTGAGGGTGATAAGCTGTGGAGAAAGCTAATTTTGTTCCTAACATATCATGTAAGTTTCTCCAGAATTCAGATGTGAATTTGGGGTCTCTGTCACTAATGATTATTTTGGGAATGCCTACGTCAGCCATTAGTCTGTTCCAGAATAACATAGCTACTTCCATGGCTGTATCATCCTTATGATTAGGAATAAATTTTGCCCTCTTGGAAAATCTATCAACTATAACTAGTACTGAGTTGTAAGAGTAAGATCCTCCGGGAGGTAATCCAGTAACAAAATCCATGTTGATGATTTCCCATTTATCCGTGGGTTCAGCAATTTTCTGAAGCAGTCCAAATCTCTTGCCTGTCTGTTTGTTTGCTTTTTGACAGGTGTCACAAGATTTAATGTATTCATGAACTTGTGTTTTCCATTCAATCCACCAGGCAGTTTGTTTGACTCTTTCTACTGTTCTCTCTTCTGAAAAGTGGCCGCAATTCACATTATCATGACATTCCTGTAGAATATTTTTTATTTGTCCTTCATCACATAAGACAAGTACACTTGAGTGTTTGTGCCTGTAATACAACAAACCATCAAATAACGTGAATTTGCCTAATTTATAATGTTTGGACAGGACAGGTGGTAAACTAGCTGCCAGTTCTGGGGGACTACTGTCATTTCTCAATATTTCTACCAATTTTAGTAATTCACTATCTTGGTCATAACTTTTCTGAACTAATTCATAAAAAGCATTTTCCATGTCCACATCACAGTGAGATTCCCAAAATAGGGAATATGTCTTC